ACAACAACCAACAACAACAACGACAACAACAACAACAACAACAACAAAAACAACAAACAACAACAAACAACAAACAACAACAAACAAAGAACGACCAACAACAAACAACAACCAACAAACAACAACAAACAACCAACGACCAACAACAAACAACAACCAACAACCAACAACCAACAACCACAACAACAAACAACAACAACAACAACAAACAACAACAACAACAACAACAACAACAACAACCAGAACCAAGAACCAAGAACCACGAACCACGAACCAAGAACCAAGAACCAACAAACAAAAAAACAACAACAACAACCATCACTCCACATCAGGTATCACACACAACAACACTAACACCACAACACACAACAACAACAACCAACAACCAGCAACAGCAACAGCAGGAACAACAACAACAACAACAACAACCACAACAACAACAACAACAACCAACCAACCAACCAACCAAACAAACAAACAAACAAACAAAAAACCAACAACAACAACAACAACAACAGAGCCAGCGGGCGGTATTCTGGGCAACAACCAAAACCCTTGGGGCATCGCCAGTGTGCGAAGCCCTACAAATAATTTTGGACGTGGTTTTGGTATGGTTTGGGAAAGGAGCAGCTTTCTCAAGGTTTCCGATGGGTTGGCTTGGAAAAAATGAAACAGAATATGGTTTTGATATGATTTGACATGGTTTTGATACGGTTTTAAAACCGTCTTGAAATGGCTTTGATATGGTTCTGATATGTTGATTTTGATTTTGTTTCGGGAAAGGAACGTCTTTTTTGAGGGTTTCGGTGGGTTGACTTGAAACAAAGAAACAGAAACAGCCCCGGGACAGGCTTTTGGTTAATTTCCCCTCTGTTTTCATGGTACTGATATGATTTTGATATGGTTTTGGTACGGTCTTTATTCGATTTCGAAGCGGTTTTGATGTGATTCTTATATGATTCTGATATGTTTCCACGGCTTTTTCAAGAACCAAAACAAGAAAATGAAAATCACACTCTTGACCGTGACCAGCATCAAAATCACAATTTCGACCCATATCAAAACCATATCTGAAACCATATCAAAACCATAACTGAAACCATATCAAAATCACTGCAAAACCAGGCCACAAACAAACCATAACAACAAATCATATCTGAATCATCCCCGCATCAAAGAATTGGTATATTTTGGAAACCCTCCATCCTAGAGCCTGCTGATGTCTTAACAAGAGTTGGGAGGAATGGAGAAAAGTTGCGAAAAGGAGAGAAGAGGTGACAAGGGGCGTGAAGAATTGAAAAGAGTTGAGAAGAGGTGAACAAAAGTCGAGGAAAGCTCAGAAGAGTTAGGAAGAGCTGAGAAGAATTTAAAAAAGGTTAAGAAGAGCTGAGAAGAGCTATGAAAAGTTGGGAAGAGTTGACAGGAACTGAGAAGGGCTGACAAGAATTAAAATGATTTTAGAAAAGAAGTGAAGAATTGTGAAGAGTTCACAAGAGTTAAAGAGGGGTGAGAAAAGGTGAGGGCGAATTGAGAGGATTTGAAGCTTCATTGCAACTCTTGTAAGCAAACTCGTCCTTCGATCCTTAGTATAACCTAGTATAACATTATTCGTTTCTGCTGGAAACTTCCGCCACCCCCCTTTGTAAGATAGTTGCATATATGATCATATATGTACCCTTACTTTTTAAAAACAACTCCAAAACCAATAAGTAACACATTCAGATTGAGCATGTAGGGACCCAAGTCTGATCGATAGTAATGTAACAAAAGCGGTGCTTTGGCCTCGCCTCTAGTGACTGACGCAACTGAGCTAGCTCCTCGCGTGAGGCTGTACAGCGCTGTCTGGCAGCATCTGCGCTGGCTGCCAGGCTTCCGACACCTTACACGGCTGCAAGATGCAAGTAACTAGAAAAGCATTTGACACATGTTGTCAAAAAGTCTTGTCAAAAATCTGCTGAGGCAAAGAACGGGTGAGCCTCAGCGTGACGGCGCAAGCCCGACAGACCGGGCAGCTGAAAGCTCAGAAAAAATCTCATCTCCCAAGCATATGGCTCATCCTTGTAGGTTTCCATGTGCTTGATCAGCCTAGACAAGTGGCTCTCAAGAACCAGCCCAGCACGGCACCAAGAGCTTGCCCCTCAATGTCTCTTCAAGTCTTGACAGTTTCTCCGTATTGCAGGGTGCATCTAGTGTTGCATACCTCAATACCCCGGCCTGCAAAAGATTTGGTCCCGCTGTGAGTGGGATCGACGTTGGTTTGCCTTCTCTTCCAAGATTGCCTCTCAGATCAGATCCCAATCACCCAGGCAAAACTACATCCCTCAAACCCCTTGTGCGGATCCCTTCCACAAGCGCTGCTTTCACAATCCATAATGACAATCCAGTGAAGTACAAGCACAGATCTCGGTAAACACAAACCACTATAATTTGACCTCTGCGCAGTACTGAGTGAATGGGTCTAGAGCCGACTCTGAAACCTACGCAAACATCTGACGAATATCATTGGAAACAATTACGAAAACGTCTTAGTATAGCGGGGAAGGCCAGGAACAGCAGCAAAATGCAGCATCAAACAAACCAAGATAAACAGGCACCACAAGCACCAGGCCGGTTACCTTAAGCTGACGGACACCACTCTTCAGCTCGTCAATCTCCTGACACTTGCTGTGCCCGCGGCTGAATTTGCCAAAGGGATTCAAAGTTCCACTGGCCTTTTCAAGCCCTTCCGGGCTTTCAGCAATTTGACCTTGCAAAGATGCGACCTCCAAGACAAAGAACAGTGGGCAATGCCCTTTTAAGAAATGAAAACACCCAAAGCAAAGAAAGCTGAGCAAACTTTGGGCAAAAGCAGTTCAGAGGCATTCCAATGCTGCAAAGGTCAAGTTTCTGAATTGCTTGGAGCTTTCTTTCGGCCCTTCCGCATGCCACACCTGCTCGCGGAGCTGCTCAATGCGATGCTCACCTTGACGAACGTGTTCCTGTCCACGAATCAGAACAAATGTCCACAGTGTCCCTGTTCTTTATGCGAGACAAGCGCAATCACAAGACCGGGGGCCTTGACTGCAAGTCTCTTCTTTTCAGCATCTTCAACGACCTCATGTCCACATGGCTAGAATAGTTCTTAATCTTGTCAATCCTTTTCAATTGCATCTGGGCCTGCTGCCCGTACGCATGTGACGGCAAAATACGCAAACTCATGGCTCATGGGGTTCCAATCGGCGATAGGGTGAGGATAATGAAAACATTACTGACAAATAATGAGACGCCTGCAAGTCGTGGCAAGTCCAGGTTTGGCCAGTGGACGTGTTTGAGACTTCAGCGTCTGAGTTTAACCTTTGAGAATCATAGAGCACGCGCCATAGACAGAATTAGTCAAACGAGGTGTCTTATCAACCAATTTGAATCTAATTTTGATAGCACCCGATTGTTGGCGCAAGAGGGTTTAGCCTATCAAATGGATTCAAATGACACTTCTTTGATCACACCCTGCGAGGGTAACCAAGGTGCTATCCAGCGAGGGCTTCGACCATCCTTAACCCCTTGAAAAAATGAACATCTATACAGGTTTTCTTATCCCATCCAAACAGAGTTTGCCTCACATCTTCTTGACTCGCCCTTGTAAAGAACAATACGACAATCTCACTATAAGCGTGCTGAAAACCCCGATCTGTTCCTGGAGAGAGCGCCTAGCCACAAGTAGCTTCTGGAGGTGCAGAGAAAATGGAAAAATGCAAGCAGAATGGGGGAAGGAAGGCTTTATCTGTATGTTTTGCTGAGGTCCGGACCCGGTCTGCTGAATTGCGCTGTCTGGCGAGTTTGTCGTTTGTCGCTTTCGCTTCAGAAACCTGCAAACGAAACAGTCCACAGTTGGTGGCCCGTCCGCTTCTGCAACTCCCTAACGGCTACTGAGCCGTCTTGCAGAAGGTTGCGTAGTCTAGTCTTGCCCGCCTCGTTCTCTGCTCGCCACATTTCTTGCAACTCGGCGCTGTGGCGCTCTTGCGCGGTTGCGAGCTCTGAGTCCACCTGGAGCTACAAAGAATCACAGGTTGTGATCGTTGTGACTCACCTGTGACTCACCTGTGACTCGCAGTGGACTGTCTTGGAGCTTGTGGAAAAAATCCTGGACCTGTTTGGCATCAACTTGCCAACTGCGGGGGACTCTAGGACACCCAGGAACCGTGGCCTGATTCAGCTTCTCCACCAGTTCCAAACGATGAGAATCCAGGCTTTGCACGTCCTCGCCAGGAGTAAAACTTGGTAGCGGCCCAACACAGCCTAACAGAGCTTGACACTGCCAGACAGGTCGGTGCAAACAGAGTCCTCTTTCATGCCCGTGATGACAATGACCTTTGCCTCGCGCTAGACGCAGTTCTGGGCTGCCATTTGCCAACTCAACGCCTTCTCCTGAATTCTGCTAGATACCATCTGCCTCCTTGTAGCGACAGAAATTGATCATTCCACCTCAGCGGCCGAATCTTCAAGAAGTTGAGAAAAAGTAGGCATTAGCAAGAAAACAGCAGTAAGAACGACGGAAATACACGGACATGCATGGAATATCATGCAGTCAAATCTCTAAGCAAAGCCCGAAAGCGCTTCGAGATGGGATCCCAAAAGTCCTGGATTCTACTGGCTGGTTCGGCCTGATGAACTGTCCCTTTCAGCTTCTCAACCTATATGTACTATAGTAGCTCTCCTTGAAATTGAAGTCATCGACCAGGTTGATCATAGCAAGCTGCCTTGCGAAATGCTGGAAACCTTCCAGCTACTGTGATTGATGATGCCTGAATTCATGCCTCGAGAGCTTGAACACTGTCAACACGTCCATTGCCTGCATGACATTGTTGGTTCGAAGAACTGAAAGTTCAGAATTCATTGAAACAGCAAAACTGAATTTCAACAAGGATCACCCTTTCTTCAAACTCAGGGCCTCGTCATAAATTTCAGGGTACAAAATGCCTGCAGGCATTTGTGCCTTGACTTGTTGCGAGTCCTGGCAGTCTTGGTGAGACTTCACAACTCTCTGGTGAAGCAAACAATCAAATCAATTGATGGTAGTTTGAGTCTGAGTAGTTAATTCAATGTGTCAGTGTCACCTGTCTCTTCAAACATGTGACGTTTTGTAAAACACTTTGCTAAGGCTTTGCACATTTTTGCATGTTGAAACAAGGTGAAACCATTCAGTGTCCATGTCATAGGCGAACTCGGCCAGTGCATTGAAAAATGCCATCGCATTGTCGGCCCCAGGTCTGCACAACAAACCGTCGGAAACCGCGTCATATTTGGTGCCCCATCAGCGTGCATCAAAAGACATCCGCGACGCTATGAGCAAAGGAAAAGTGTCTTTGGGGTATGTAAAGTGTACAATATGTGTATATATACAAAAAAAGGAATATAAAAAAAACAAGGGATAAATATATATATAATTATATATATATAGTATAATAGAAAATGTTTAACATATATAACATTGAATAAATATCATATATCAAAAAATATAGTACCTTTAAAAAAGAGAGTGGGACGTTGTGAGGGCCCGTGTTTTTTTTAGTGTTTTTTGTGTTTTTGCATATGTTGAGTTTTTTTGTTATTTACTACATACCTTTAGTCTAATATTTACTAAGTTCATAAGAATTTGTCCCTTCGTTTCATGTTTCTTCTTCGTTTGTATCCCATTTCTTTCCCCGGGTCCGATATCCAATGTCCTTACTATACGTTAATCTAATGTCCAATGCCACTTTGCTTTCTACTTTTTGTGTTATGTGTTATCCCAATGTACGTACCTACAATCATCACCTCGTCAAGCATTAGGGCACTGTGGGTGGGCAAGCCCGAACTGACCAGTGGGAACAACTTGAAACAGCTTCAGAAAGACAAAATTTTCTGATAAATTAATAGTAGAGACAAGGCTGTCCGGCTGTCAAGGCAAACCATACCGGCCGAACTGACCAGTGGGAACAGCTTGAAACAGCGTCAGAAAGACAAAGTTTTCTGATAGATTAATAGTAGAGACAAAGCCGTCCGGCTGCCAAGGCAAACCATACCTAGGATCACAACCCCCTGGAACATTGGAGCACATTGAATAGGCAAGGATGAACCGACTAATTGGAGCAACTGGAACGATTTGTTGAAAGGATTCGAAAGGTAGATGCCTTGGCTAGGTCTACTAGAGCATGGTGGCGTCCCTTTCTGCTTAAAAAACAAAAATATATAAATCATAAAATGATATACAATGTACAATATATGATATATACTATGTTATTTATTATATATATATATATATGTATATAATATATACTATATAGTTCAAGATATTTAAAAACATTAAATATAATATCTGAAACAACATATGTAATACTGTATTATATATAAATATACACCAGTAGTACCCGCACGAAGCGGGGCGGAAGTTGCCTTAGGGATATACTATAAGACCTTTCTCATCTATAGAACTTGCATGTGCAGTGCGCCAGTCAGGCTCGTGCGCGCGTGCTTTGTGCGACGGTGATGCACTGCTCCAAAGCGGGCTTGAAACTCCACACTTCACACTGCACTCTTCAAACTTCACACTTCGCATTTACACTTCACACTCCACACTTCATCTCATCTCATCTCATCTCATCTCATCTGAGCTCTTCTCACCTCATCTCAGCTTTTCTCATCTCATCTCATCTCTTCTCATTTGTCATCTAAGTTCTTGTCCACTGCTCAACCTGAGCACTGTTCAACCTTTCTCATCTCATCGAAGCTCCTCTCAACTCATCTTAGCTCTTCTGCATGTCACAAAGCTTTTACTGCCAGAGAGAAGCCTCCTGCACACAAAAATCAATGCACAGAGAAGCTTTTGCACACAGAAGCTTGAGACACAGGTGCGTTTACACAGACAAGCCTGTACGCACACAAGCCTATACACACTGAAAGCTTCTGCACATGACAAGCGTTTACACACAGCATGCTTTTACACAGAGAAGTTTTGACACACAGCAAATTTTCACACAGCAAGCTGGTAGACACACTAAGTTTTTACAGAGAGAGCTTTTACATCCCTGTTGGAATTCGGACCAAACCTGGGGGTTCCATTCTATAGGGACTAAAACGAAAACCCAGGACTAAGGGAGGGTGATTTTCCCTATAGAATAGAAACCCGAGAAAGCCAACAACCCCCTGCCACTCCTATAAAATGAAAACCCAGCCTCATATTGGCCACCGCTTGGAACAAATAATCCACTATAGAATGAAAAACTGGGTCCCAGTGATTAGGAAAAAGACCTCCTATAGAATAGAAAACTGGGTTTGCAATGCCTTGAGTTTTGTTTCACTTTTTGGATCTGGGCTGGCACCATTCCACAAAAGAATATACTTGGTGACTATTTTATAGAGGGGGGTTGGATTTCCATTTTATAGGAGCTGATCCAAGAGGAGCCGTGCCTCAGCATGGCCAGGCTCAGAAACATTCATATAGTAATGTATATATATATCTATATATATATATAGTTTTTATGTATCTATATATATATATATTTATTTATTTTTACTTATTTATTTTTGTTTATTTATTTATTTATTTGTATTTATTTATACACATGTATACACACTATTATTTTGCCTACTGACAAGCCCCCTGCCACTCCTATAAAATGAAAACCAAGCCTGGCACTGACAAACCATTATAGAAATAAATGAATACATAAACGCATAATATATACACTATAGAATAAAACACTGGGTCCTAGTGATCAAGGAAAAAAAACTACTGAATAGAAAACGCTATTTCCAACGCCCAAAATGTGGTTCACGTTTGGATCTGAGCTGGCGCCTTTCAAAAAAGAAACATCCTTGGGGACCATTTTTTGGAAGTGGTGTTGGATTTCCATTTTATAGGAGCAGCCCTGCTAAAAGCAGCTTCGTTAACAGTAATGATTACTTTTTCTGTTGCACAGTTTAATTTGCACTACCATTGCCCACTGACACTCCCCCCCCTCCTATAACATGAAAACCCAGCCGGACACTGACCACTACTTCCAAAAGGTTATCCAGGAGTGCCCTACTGAATAGAAAACGCTATTTCCAGGGCTTAAAATGTGGTTTCACATTTGGATCTAGGCTGGCACCTTTGAAGAAAAGAAATCTTGGGGACCATTTTTTGGAAGTGGTGTTGGATTTCCATTTTATAGGAGCAGCCCTGCTAAAAGCTGATTCGTTAACAGTGTTGACTACTTATTCGTTTGCAGTATGTTTCAATATTTTACAATATCATACAGTATTTACAATATTATTGCCCACTGACACCTCCCCTTCCACTCCTATAAAATGAAAACCCAGCCTCATACTGGCCACCGCTTCTAACAAATAATCCACTATAGAATGAAAAACTGGGTCCCAATGATTAGGTGCCCCCTAAAGAATAGAAGCCGCTTTTTCCAAGGCCCAAAATGTGGTTCACGTTTGGGCTGGCATCTTTCAAGCAAAAAAATCCTTGGGAACAATTTTTAGAAGAGTGGTTGGATCTCCATTTTAAAGGAGCAGCCCTGCACAAAACTGATTCGTTAACAGTGTTGACCACTTATTCGTTTACAATATGTTTCAATATTTTACAGTATCATACAGTATTTACAATATTATTGCCCACTGACACCTCCCCTTCCCACTCCTATAAAATGAAAACCCAGCCTCATACTGGCCACCGCTTCTAACAAATAATCCACTATAGAATGAAAAACTGGGTCTGCACTTTTTCGACATCTGAACCTCCAAAAGTGGTCCGAACATGGTGTGTTTTGTGCATTTTGAATTCGAAACATGCTTCGTGCCACAACGGCGTACACTTTTCAACATCTCAACTTCCAATAGTGGTCCGACACTGAAGTGTTTTGTACATTTGGACTTCGAAATGTGCTTCGCGCCACAACGGCGTGCACTTTTTCGACATCGCAACTTCCAAAAGCGGTCCGACACTGAGGTGTTTTATACATTTTGACTTCGAAATATGCTTCGCGCCACAACAGCGTGCACTTTTTCGACATCTCAACTTCCAAAAGTGCTCCGAACATGGTGTGTTTTGTACATTTCGACTTCGAAATATGCTTCGCGCCACAACGGCGTGCACTTTTTCGACATCTCAACTTCCAAAAGTGGTCCGAACATGGTGTGTTTCGTACATTTTGACTTCGAAATGTGCTTCGCGCCACAACGGCGGGCAATTTTTCATCTCTCATCTGGCCAGCTGGCTCCGCACCCGCCGCTTTAGCGAGCCTACTTTTCGACCATCCGGAGCCTCAAATCATTGAAAAAACACAGTGTTTCGCAACTTTCCTACCTTTTCGCGCATCTGCATCTTCTTTCTTCTGACTCTTTCTCTTCTCTGATCTTCTCTCTTCTAATCTTTCTCTTCTCTCTGCCTCTGCCCTGCTCTGCTTTTCATCTGTCCATATTGTCGGAAGTTTGACTTCTAAACTTCCTTCGATCACACATAACGACATGAAATATACAAGAATTAATACACCAGATACACGTGTCAAAAATCACATATCATGTATCAGATATCGTATATCATAAATCAGTTTCTTTTGGAAATCCAATATAACAGTTCATACATCAAAAACATTTTAATACAGCATATATATCTATATACTATATATATATATGTAAAAAATGCGTAGGTAAATACATTTAAACAAAATGAAACGCAGTCAAATATATAAAAAATGTTGAGCAAACAAATAAATGATATGTTTATATTTTTTCAACTGATATATTGAAAAACCAAAGAAATAAAATGAAAAATGATAAAGTATAAAAGGTTTTGCAGCCGATAGGGGGTCTTTGGAATTTGATTCTAGTGTCCTTGGTGATTTAGTTCTACCTCTGATTGTGTGATATATGTTTTCCATTATTTATTTCTTTATCTATCTTATCTATCAAGGTAGGTGGCCTGGGTATATACTAATGAAAATGATCCCAAAGGAAAGATCGTCTTGGGTTAGTGTCCCTTGGATGTTTCAATATTATTAATTCTTATCCGCCATTCGGTAATCATGCCAAGATGGGGATTGATAATTAGTGTCTCCATCCATTTACCCTTCTATTCGTGGAAGTGCCAGTCAGAACAAACGATCACCATTCGATCGTAGTTCAAATAGTTTTTTTCTTGGGTTGGGTACTTTGAGAAAATATAAAATATATTATCTATATATATATATATCAATATATGCAGCCGATAGGGGGCCTTTGGAATTTGATTCTAGGGTCC